TGAAAAAATGCTTTTTCCCATAGACTTCAATGCAATCTTTTTTAATTAACTACTGCTTAATTAATGAAATTTTTTAAACTTTCTCATGGTCAATCCTTTTCCATTATAAAATGCTTTAATATAATATCAGAATATTACCGGTATGTACTTGACGGACATTTAAAGGTAGAGAATTTGGTCCCATTAGGGATGGAAACCCTTAAGCAAATGGCAAGCCTTGCAAAGATTTCTTGCACTAAAGACAGTGCCAGTATTATATGAAGATTTTATTTTGTCAAAAATAAAATTCAGTCTTACTGTAGATATTCTGAACCTAATAAGCATGGATCTTACTTGTGGGGACATTCCAGCCTGGGTGTGTGTGAGGACTGTAGGGTGGGGATGACTTAGAACACCCCACTCCAACATATTCCTCTAAACCAATCTCTCTCCACAACAACTTAGTCTCCTCTGGAGATAGGGTAGGGCCAAAGTTATTCAGGGTTTTCCATGATGTCAGGTCAAAACCTTTTACATGATTAAAAGAACTTTTTTTAATAAAGGTTAAAAACAGGTAAAACATTTTTGTTTTATATTGAGGACACACAAAATCACAACTTATTTACCAGTGAACTGATTAATAGTCTTACTTGGATTGATAAAGTCGAGGTTCATATTACATGGTTTCTTTGGTAGCAGGGCGTTTCTGAAGATAGCTGCTGAGTAAACACAGGCTGTGGGATTGGAGGATTCTAAGCATAAACTCAGATTCATATTGACTAAATACTTTCTTTGTATGACCAAATTCTGGATGTTGAAACTGTGCAAAACAAAAACAAAAGGTCTTAAATGTGGCACTCATTGATCTTACTAAACACTAGACATACACAATCATGCAATTACAGTAAATCAAACTTATAATAATTCCTTATATCCATCAGACTCTCACAATGTTTAATTCTACAGAGAATGAAAATAACTTTGTTATAATTCATTACAAGCATATTTGCTATAAGCTTGTTTTACTTTACTTGTTACTGTTTGTTAAATACTGTAGATCACTAAATTTTAGCGACACCTTATTTTCGCGAGATAGTAATTGACTCTTGATTGGCGAGACAAAATTTTCACGAATATTGGTTATTGCTCTATATATTCTTAAGGAATATTATTACACGCGAGAATTAAATTTTTGCGAGCACAATGTCTTGCGTAATTACGCAAAAAAAGTTCTCGCAAATAAAAAGTGATTTACAGTAGTTAAAAGTCATCTTATTTTGAATAATTGCAAGATTTACAAAGCGTGAATATTACTGAGAAATGATTTCTTTAAGATTAAGCATCCCATTCTTAAAATGTTTTCATACATCCTAACACTTTAATTGCCCAATGTGTAATTTCCAAAACAAAATGCAGCCTAACAAGAGGGTTAAAGAAGAATTTCACGAAACATGAATATCCAATTGTCAGGCACACTTCCACTACAACATTACTCATTAGGATATGATAAATATGAATTGTACATACTCAATTCTTATGGCTCCCTGCAGTGTGAAATGATCTGTTGTTCCAAAGTCATAGTCAAAGAGTGTCAAGTTGTATTGCATCTTTTCTATGTTGAGACTCATGATGGCTTCACACGGGTCCATTAGGACCTGTACATTGATAGTTCTACCTCCCAGAAATCCAATTTCTGCACAGCAGTCAATCCCAGTACAGAGTTGTGGGATGTGGCAGGAGACTGAGCTTGGCAAGGGTGAAGGGACACCAGTGTTTGGACACTCTATAAAACAATAATCTTATTTCATTCAACAGTTAGTTCATTTATCTCTTGTAATGTATTCACATTTGGAATTAAATGCAGCAAGCAACCTTTACTAAGAAATATCAATATAACTTAGTGAAAACAATAAGACCAACCATTTTTCCATCCTTTGATGTTGGGGCTGTATAGAGAACTACTGCGGTCACACTGATCAGCTGTTTTAAGGAAGTCCTGTATTCCTAATGTTGATAACAGGTCAGTGGCATCAGCTGAGGACAGGACTGAGTCAAGACTTAAACCTTTGTCCAACAACCAGGAGGTTCCAGAAAAATCTGAAATATAACATTAAACATGTGTAATCATATATTATGAAGCTAACTTAGACTGCTAAAAAGTGCTGGGGTTTTTATTGCATAAAGGGCAAATTGCAGATGTCAATGATATACTTCTAAATGACACATGGCTTCATGTGTTTTTTATTGATTCAACACTGAAATTAATTTTACTGTAAAAAGATTTTACAACTGTATTCTGTACCTTTCTGAAAGCCAGTGCCCCATTCACACAGTGTTTTGGGAAGTTTAAAATCCTTGAGTAAGTGTAGGGAATCTACGGTACAGGGTCCTACTCCATAACAAACATTTAGAGAGGCTGATATTTTGTAAGCTTTCTCTGCAGGAACTTCATCTATTCTAAACCTGAATTTTCATAAAATAAAAATTATGACAGAATTTAGAAGAAGAGGGGAGGGGGTTCTAGTCAAATGGGTTTGAATTAAATTGTTGCATCCTCCAATCTAAATGTATACATTCATGTATATTTGTACTGTAGAATGAAACTTACTCAAACTGAACTACATTCATCAAGTATCTTTTTTCAGTTACACCTGTAAATTATAAGAAACCACTTTTATAAGACTTCAAGAACAATACAATTCAAAATAATTTTAAACACAAGCATAAACAAGAACTGTCCAAATGGGACAAAATATCCCCCGCTGGGTTTTTCAGAAGTTAGTTTTTCCATAATAAATATATGTATCAAACACAAATTATGAAATTTTACTTCCAGTGACCTTGAACTTCCCCAAATGACCTTGGGTCAAGGTCATGACACACCCCTGGGTCATGGGCAATCTTTGAGTGAAATGAGAACCTACCAAGTTTATCCATAAGAAAGATATGGACTGGACACAAATTATGTAATTTTTCTTCCAGTGACCTTGAATTTCCTCAAATGACCTTGGGTCAAGGTCATGACACTCTTGGGTCATGGGCAATCTTTGTGTGAAATGAGAACCTACCAAGTTTATCCATAAGAAAGATATGGACCGCACACAAATTATGAAATTTTTCTACCAGTGACCTTGAACTTCCCCAAATGACCTTGGGTCAAGGTCATGTCACACCCTTGGGTCATTTGCAATCTTTGTTTGAAATGAGAACCTACCAAGTTTATCCATGAGAAAGATATGGACCGGACACGAATTATGATATTTTTCTTCCAGTGACCTTAAACTTCCCCAAATGACCTTGGGTCAAGGTCATGACAAACCCTTGGGTCATGGGCAATTTTTGTGTGAAATGAGAACTTACCAAGTTTATCCAAAAGAAAGAAATAGACCGGACACGAATTGTAAAAAATTTCTTCCAGTGACCTTGAACTTTTCCAAATGACCTTGGGTCAAGGTCATGACAATTCCTTTGGTCATTTGCAATCTTTGTGTGAAATGAGAACCTACCAAGTTTATCCATAAAAGATATGTATCAAACATGATTTATTAAATTTTTCTTCCAGTGACCTTTAACTTCCCCAAATGACCTTGATTCAAGGTCATGACACACCCTTGGGTCATGGGCAATCTTTGTGTGAAATGAGAACCTACCAAGTTTATCCATAAGAAAGATATGGACCGGACATGAATTATGAAATTTTTCTTCCAGTGACTTTGAACTTCCCCAAATGACCTTGGGTCAAGGTCATGACACACCCTTAGTGTGGAGTAGAAGATTCTAATGTCCCTCTGTAAGAAAGATATGGACCGGACACGATTGCACAGACAGCTAGACAGACGGACGGACGGACAGCTAGACAGACGGACCAGGTGATTCCTATATACCCCCCCAAACTTCGTTTGCGGGGGGTATAATAAGGAAATATAAAAAAGAATAACTTCATTTAATTAACCTGCAGCTTAAATGAACATTTTTCAAATAAAAGTCTGTTAAAAAAGTGCACTAGTACTTGAAGACAGCTCTGGATTTCATAAACTATCTGTTTTCTGACTTGTATGTACTTCATACTTTCATAAAACTAAGTAAACCATATATGGACTCATTTAAGTACATGATGAGGTAAAATACATCTATTTGTTAAGTAGAGAAACACTTTACCGAATGAATAGTCATGGAGCTGTATTTTGATTTTGAGTTGTTCTACTTGGAATGTCAGGACATGGTTGCAGTCATCTAGTTCCACTCCCACTGTGAGTTGCCTCCTTAATACTTTACTTTCCTCAATACAGCAAGTTACTCCAGTGCAAAAGGACGGTATGTTACATCTCACATTGGATGGCAGGGTAGGAAGAGCATTAGTTAAGTCTTTCTTACAATCTACAAAGGAGTAAAAAGGAATTGCAGCTTAAAACCCAGTATGTCACCTCAAGATAGACAGTGGAAAGAAGATATCACCATCAAAGCCAATATTTCCTCTCTTTGTTGTTGGTATAAACAATAAAGAGCAATGTCTACCATTTTTCCATCCATCACTGTTGGCTGGACTAAAGGTCTGAGAGGTAAATGAACAAGGATTGGTACTTAAATAAGATCGGATTCCAAGCTCATTCAACAGCTTGTCTTTATTGACAAGGGAGAGAACTGATCCTGGACTGATGCCAAGATTACTGTACCAGGCATCCAGGTCAAAATCTGTAATGGGAAAAATTGTAATAAATATGAGAGACCACATTTTAAAGTTGCTTGTTCCCAAAACATATTTTTTCAATAGGAAATGCCATACTTGGAGTAGAAAAACTTGCAGTCCAGTCACAGATTGACTTGGGCACCAGGGTGTTCTTGAAGACATCAATGTTGATCAGACATTTAGAATCATCAGAGGCCTCAAAACAAGCTTTTAATGTCAGGGATACTCTAAATTGTCTCTCCACTGGCAAATCTTCAATCATGTAACTGGAAAAAAAATTGTGAAAAAATGTTAATTCCAAGGTGCCATTAATAATTTATGCTGCGAAGCAAATATCAATAAAAAGGAATAAATACAAAACATATCTTACTCAATACGAATCACACTGTTCAGGTAGAACTGATTCTTTATGCCTGAAAATATAAGACAAGAAGAATTCTCATCCATTGCCAGCAAGGACAAATAAATGAACATTTCCATTTAAAACATCAATTTACCAATACGTTTTATCATGATACCAACCCAATGTCACATCCTTGAGACTGATGTTAAATGACAGCTTCTCAATACCAACTTCCATCCAATAGTTACAGGCATCCAATGTAAGATAAGATTCAAATGATGTCTTCATGAATCCAACATCCATACAACAACTGACTGAGGTACAGGAGTCCTTCACCAGACATGTGACGGAGTCAGAGATTTGCATCATATCAACTTCCAACTGGCAGTCTACAATGGTAGAACTGGAATTTGCTTACAGAACATTGAACACATGTAACAATTACATATCAGTTGAGAATGTGTACCTTATATCTAAATGTATCCCTTATACTAAATGCCTGCATGTTTTAATTACTGATAATAAAGTAAAAGTGTTGACCTTTTTTCCACCCATTGACAGCAGGACTGTATACTGGACCAGATCTCTGACAAGGAACCCCCTTCATGTATTTAGCAATTCCAAGTTCTTCTAGAAGTTTGGCAGCATCCAGGGTGGAGAGCTGAGATCCAATATCAGCACCTATACCACTGTACCAATTTGTCAAGGAGAAATCTATATTAAAAGAGAAAAAGTATATGTATGTAATTTCATTGGAAGAGCTCCAGTTGTCTTAGTCAGCTGGCAAGCCCCCTCAAGTGATTTACATGTACATTCATATTGTATCAATTAAAAACAAGATGTGTTTGTGAAACACTATGCGCCCAGCGTCAACAAAGTTTGAAAAAGCTATTTTTAGTATATAGGTCACAGTCAAGGTCACAAGGTCATTGACCTTGGTTTTGTTTGAAAGAACTTAATTAGTGGAGTATGCGTACTAAATATGAAGTCCCCATCTCCTATGGTTCAAAAGTTATGTCAAAAAGTGGAAAAATCTATTTTTAGCATATAGGTCACAGTCAAGATTACAAGGTCATTGACATTGGTGTTGTTTGAAAGAACTTAATTAGTGGAGTATGCATACTAAATATGAAATCTCTATCTCCTATGGTTCAAAAGTTATGGCAAAAAGAGGAAAAAGCTACTTTTAGCATATAAGTCACAGTCAAGGTCACAAGGCCATTGACCTTGATGTCTTTTGAAAGGACTTTATTAGTGGAGTATGCATACCAAATATGAAGTCCCTATCTCTTATTTTCAAAAGTTATGACAAACAGTTGAAAAAGCTATTTTAAGCATAAAGGTCACAGTCAAGGTCACAAGGTCATTGACCTTGATGTCATTTGAAAGAACTTTAATAGTGGAGTATGCATACCAAATATGAAGTCCCTATCTCTTATGGTTCAAAAGTTATGACAAACCGTTGAAAAAGCTATTTTTAGCATATAGGTCACAGTCAAGGTCACAAGGTCATTGACCTTGATGTCATTTGAAAGAACTTTATTAGTGGAGTATGCATACCAAATATGAAGTCTTTATCTCTTATGGTTCAAAAGTTTTGGCGAAGGTTAAAGTTGACAACAGACAGACAGACAAACAAACAGGACAAAAACAATATTCGCCTGGGATCTATCGATCCGGGCGCATAAAAATGTGATGGGCAAGACTTAAGAGATACATGCAGTTATAATACTGAAATTAAAACACCTTAATGATTAATTCAGCTTTAGTAAGGCTGCCATGAAATTATCGTTGTTTCATTTTTACCCTGTTTGCCCTATGGACAAATGGGCAAATCTAAAATAATGCAAATTCACTGAAGACAGATTTAACTGTGTCTAGATAAATTTACAATAGGTAATCATCTTATGTCGAAAATAACACCATGAAGCAAAAATAATCCCGTATCCAGTACATGATCATTATAATTTTGATCCTGGTCATGCAACTGTTGGATGAGATCTCTTTAATTTAAAACTTAAATCTTGCTAGTATCTGACAAAATACAGAACAGATGCAGCATATCAAGCATTATTTAAAGAAACTAATTCTAGATGCATCAGGTTTAAGCTGCTGCAAATTTAGAGTTCAGGTGGAGTTTATGGCAAAAAGTAACCTTAGAAATGTATAAAATCTTAAGAAGAGGACCCATAAGTGTAGCATAAACTCATCTAAGCCTTGTTGAGGTCAGATAAAAGCAGAGAGTTCCAAAGAAGACAAACCTGGTACTGTAAAGTTTAGGTTCCAGTTACACCCAGGTTTCGGTATCCTCTGTTTATCGAACAAAAGAGACTCATAGACACAAGTTTTCTCCTCTAGACATATCTTGATTTCTGCTGTTAACTCTAAGTCACTCCTGTCAATATCTTCAATTTTGTACCTGTTTAATGTAAATTAACAAAACTTTTTTGTTTACTTCAGTGAAATGTATATCCGCAGCTGGACATGAAAGGACATTGGTACAAAGCATACACACGTCATATCACGTCATATGTTGATACCAAACTTACCTCAACTGGACCACATCCATCAAGATGAAGCTGTCCTCCACACCTATACAAACATTTAAACTTTTAAATGACCAAGTAAATTTAAAAGAAGCTTTTAAAAAATGTTTTCAACTGGGTATCTCATTTCGAAAAATCAAAGGAAAATCTATATCACATTTATGCTCTTCATCATAATTGATGTGAATCCTTAGTAATAAATTTTCTATATAGACAAATATCAAGTATAATGCAGAACCACTACAATCAAACAATAAAGTGCCGCGCCACAGCATGATACGCCCGTCAAAAAATTACAATTTTCTTGAACAGTTTAGGTGCAAGAAAATCACATCAACCTTGATTCTAAGATTTCGATGATTTTTCCATTCCTTAAAATATTTATCCATCCCCTGTGATGTAGGCATCAATTATAATAAATATTACATCACTGATAGATTTCTGTGCTGGTTGTGTTAGACCTTGTCAAATGCCCATCATCAAATTAGTCTTAACAATTTAATCTATTCCAAATTAATTTTGAAAAAAAAGGCTGTCCATCAAATGACATATGTTATAAACTGACCAGCAGTTCTTCTGTCTAATCCCAAAAGGGCTGCTTAATCAGAGCAACTGAGACAGCTAGCCTTCCTACATTGAACACATTAATTAATCTTTAACTGGATGCTTGTCTACTCATTATTACCAAGAGATGAATGGGTCTGCACTATCTACTATAATTCTTTAATCTATTCCAAATTAATTTTGAAAAAAAAGGCTGGCCATCAAATGACATATGTTATAAACTGACCAGCAGTTCTTCTGTCTAATCCCCAAAGGGCTGCTTAATCAGAGCGACTGAGACAGCTAGCCTTCCTACATTGAACTCATTAATTAATCTTTAACTGGATGCTTGTCTACTCATTACTGCCAAGAGATGAATGGGTCTGCACTATCTACTATAATTCTTTTTTAAAAACATATAAAATACTCTCAGATTTTTTTTTTTTTTTTGGTTGAGATTTAATGTCCGACAGGTTTTAGTATGTAATTCATATGGACATGCTGATTCAACCCCACCCCATTAAATTAGTTTTTAAAGTAATAATATTACATAATATCAGATTAGTCTATTATGCAATATCAAATTAGTTTTAATTACTTTTCATCAAATTCATTTCAAAACTTAAGCTAGTCAACAAGAGCTATTCTTAATCAAACAGGCTTACCCATTTGCACAATTCTCAAGGGATATAGATAACGCCAATACTCTGTCGGTTAGCTCCTTGCACTCAAAACCCATTAATTTCTCTCTAATTTGATATGCAATTTTCTGTTATCAAAATTCTTCTTGACCAGTGCTTGATAATTACACTCATGGGAGACATGGGATTTCTCTAACATACATTATATTTGTTTTAGATTGCTGTCAAGTATATGCTTAAAAAAAATAAGTATTTTCTTGATTTAACACTTTTTTAATAAGAGCAGTGCAATACTCTTACATTATTTGGGTTGTGTAAATGAATAGTCAAAAGACACATTTTTTTTTAAAAATTCACTTAAATTAAAGGTCACAGTGACCTTGAAATAGGTCGCGACACATCTTCTACCTAAGATGCATAAACTGGCCAAGTTTGATGATTGTAGGTCTTATGGTTTTCTAGTTATGGGCCGGAAAGGATTTTTCCATATTTGGCTATAACTTCTTAATTAAAGGTCAGAGCGACCTACTTTTTGTGCGCGACACACCTTCTACCCAAGATGCATCAGATGACAAAGTTTGATAATCCTAGGCCTAGTAGTATTAAAGTTATGAGCCGGAAACGAAAAAGCTAACAGACAGACGGACAGACGGACGGACACGAAGCCTATAAAATAATACGTCCCGTCTTAAGATGGGCGTATAAAAATCACTTATATCTTAATCACCATATTGGTAAGAGAACAGTGTCTTTTCATAGGAGAGTTTCTCTATTCCCACTTTGAGAGTCTGGAGACACAGATCCAGATTCAGGAGGAAATGGATTGTCTGTTGTAGAGGATCCTGAAAATCCAGACAACATTCCACAGCAGTACAGTGGCTCATCAGGTGACAGCTGATGGGAAGGGAACTAGTTAACTGGGTCATGTTACCCACATCAAGCGGACAGTCTGAAAACAACAGGCTTCATTAATTTCATAAAACTATTTAAATATTAGTATAATGTTCAACATTTGTCTCCCTTTATGTCTTGTTGCATTTTGTGTGATTAATTATAAAAACAAGAGGCCCAGGGGCCACATCGCTCACCTGAGCACATCGACTTGGAAAAAAACATATTATCAGATCAGAACTGAAAGTTTACTGAGGTGAGAGTGGGGGGGGGGCTTCAATTTTAATACTATTTGAGAATGCCTTCATATCAATACAGCATATGACTTTGCTGTTATTGATAAAAAGATTTTGTTCCTACCCGTATATATTATTTCGTAATAATTTGAATTTGATTCCCCATTGTTTCCCTCCCTATCCTAAAGGGCCATGATTTGAACTTTAAATCTTCAATACATGAGGATGCTTACACGCCAATATGACTAAACAAAGCTTTTCTGTTCTTGGGATTTTTTCCTTTCTTTGTTCCACAATAGTGGCCCCACCCTACCCTTTGGGGTTATGATTTGAACAAATTTAATTCTACACTACATGAGAATGCTTCAATATAAATACTAGTACTACTAATCATGGCTTTGCTATTCTTCATAAGAAGACTTTTAAATATATTTTAATGTAAAACTTGGATCCCCCATTTTAGCCCCACCCTACCCCAAGGGGTCATAATTTGAACAAACTAAAATCTACACTACCTGAGGATGATTCCATAGAAATATCTCTAATCCTACCCCAGGGGGTCATGATTTGAACAAATTTGAATCTACACTACCTGAGGATAATTTCACATAACTTTCATCTTTCCTGTCTCAATGGTACTTGAGAAAAAGATTTTACAAGATTTTTCCTTTATATTCCTGTGTAAAACTTTGATCGACCATTTTGGCCCCACCCTACCCCCGGGGGTCATGATTTGAACAAACTTAAATCTACACTACCTGAGGATAATTTCACCTGAGTTTCATCTTTCCTGGCACAGTGGTTCTTGAGAAGAAGATTTTTTAAAGATTTTTCCTATATATTCCTATGTAAAACTTTGATTAGCCATTTTGGCCCCACCCTACCCCAGGGGGTCATGATTTGAACAAACTTCAATCTACACTACTGAAGGAGGATTCCACATAAGTTTCATCTTTCCTGGCCCAGTGGTTCTTGAGAAGAAGATTTTTTTTTTTTTAAATGCCATTAATTTTATTTAAATTTACGATTATCTCCCCTTGGAAAAGGGCGTGGCCCTTCATTTGAACAAACTTGAATCCCCTTCACCCAAGGATACTTTGTGGCAAGTTTAATTGAAATTGGCCCAGTGGTTCTTGAGAAGAAGATGAAAATGTGAAAAGTTTACAACGACGACAACGCCAACGACAACAACGACTACAACGACTATGACAGACAACGGACAAATTTTGATCAGAAAAGCTCACTTGAGCCTTCGGCTCAGGTGAGCTAAAAACTACTCACCAATTTTCCATCCAGCCTGACCCTCAGTCTGTGGGAGATAGACAGCTGACCTCCTGTCACATTGTTTTTCCCTGGGCAGTAAGAAATTGGTGATTCCTAGACTCTCCTTTAGCATGGACAGATAAGTGGTCGACAGCACTGAGCCTGGGGTCAAGGTCATGTTCTTGTACCACTCAGAGATGGAGAATCCTACAACATACACAAAATTGACCTTTACTTCATTCCAGACAGAGATGTTATCTCAATGTGACAGATAAAGAAAATGCTTGGGATTTTCTTCAAGAGTAAGTTAATTATCTATCTCAGTGGACTTGTTGCAGCAACTTCTACAATAGGAACATTCTCAGCAGTTATCTCATGTCTCTTGCCCATTCATTCTTCAATAAGTTACGAAATCTACCCACCACCACCAATCTATTCTTCAATAAAGTTACAAAATCTACCCACCACTACCAAACTAGATGACAGAGAGAACCAAACTTCTCATCAAAATATGTCTAACTGCCTATCTAACTAGAAAAACACATTTTATTTCTTAATTGGTCAACAACAAAAAAAGTAACTAGAAAAAAAAGAAAATTTTTGGATGGAAGAATTACAGATGGATAGACAGACAGATAGAGTGGGGCCCTAATAACAATTACACTAATCATCCCTAAAAATATGCAAATTACAAGAAGTCATCTGTCTGACTGAGATGACCCTGAGAGACTGTGACCTAATAGAGCTGTACATACAGTAAACTACTATAATAATGAAGTTGACACACCTGAAGGATTAAATGACCAATGACATTCAGTTTTTGGCAGATACAAGTCTTTAGCAATATCATGGGATAAGAAACAGGGTTGTCCTTTCTCTATACAAATATCTATTTTCATGTTCACAAGATATTTGTCTTCAAGATCCTCAATGCTGTACCTGATAAAAATAAAACTTAAAGTATTAAAACATAAATGTACACAAAAGGTAGGAAGAATTCTAGGATACTGTTCCCTACAAATATGGTGCTAAAATAAGTGCTACTGACGGCAGTATATAATATTATTGGACCACATGGGTGATCACTAAAATTGAGAAAAAAGGTCACATATCCCAAATTTGAGCAAAAATTTGTGTTCCTTGTGAAAAACTGAGTTTAAACAAGAGGCCCATGGGCCACATCGCTCACCTGAGAAGCTTTGACCATTCTGTTCTTTACCAGATTTCCCCCTTGTAATACATAATGCATCACCACCCTACTCCACTGATCATAATTTAGACATTTTTGAAATCTACACTACCCCAGGATCCTTCCATGTGCACATAAGTTTCAGCTTTTCTGGCCCAGTGGTTCTTGAGAAGAAGATTTTCAAAGATTTTTCCTTTATATATTTTTATGTAAATCTTTGATTCCCCATTGTGGCCCCGCCCTTCCCCCGGGGGTCATGATTTGAACAATTTAGAATCTACACTACCCCAGGATGCTTCCACGTAAGTTTCAGCTTTTCTGGCCCAGTGGTTCTTGAGAAGAAGATTTTCAAAGATTTTTCCTATATATTTCTATGTAGAACTTTGATTCCCCATTGTGACCCCGCCCTTCCCCCGGGGGTCATGATTTGAACAATTTAGAATCTACACTATACCAGGATACTTCCACATAAGTTTCAGCTTTTCTGGCCCAGTGGTTCTTGAGAAGAAGATTTTTTAATGACCCCACCCTATTTTTGTCTTTTCTTGATTATCTCCCCTTGTGAGTGGACTTGGCCCTTTATTTTAACAATTTAAATTCTCCTTCACCCAAGGATGCTTTGTACCAAGTTTGGTCAAAATTGGCCCAGTGGTTCTTGAGAAGAAGTCGAAAATGTGAAAAGTTTACAGACAGACGGACAGACAGACAGACAGACAGCTAGACAGACGGATGGACGGACGACGGACAAAATGTGATCAGAAAAGCTCACTTGAGCCTTCGGCTCAGGTGAGCTAAAATCTGATTCTAAAAGTATTCAAAATGATAATTAACTCCACGAAGAATGTGATCAAAATCAATTTTTGATGAAATCTTATAAAAATTCAAGACATGTGTCACTTGCGCTTTAATCTAAACAAGAGGCCCATGGGCCTTATAGGTCACCTGAGCATTATGCAACAACTTTCCAGTGGTTGAATTTGATTCATGTTTTAATCCAGATGCTATGGCATTCACAATTTTGAAATAGGCACCATTGATCATCATAACAATACCCTTAGCAGTTGCTTAGTTTGTTTACTTAATACCCATAGGCAGGGTAGGGGAACAAAAAATGCATTTCAAGTAATCAGTAATATTCAGCATGATCAGTAATGCCCCAATCACACATGAACCCCTGACCCTTAGGCCTAGATCCACACATTGCACAATTTTTGAAAAGGCACCCTTGCTTTTCAAAAATATTTGATAAATACCAAGGAGCAGATTTCAAACAATTCATCCAGTTTCAGTATATAAGTACAGTCCCCCCTCCTCCTTTATGGTACCCCTGACCCTGGGGCCTTGAAATTCACAATTCTGGAAGATTAGGACCCTTGCTCATCATAACTACATAAGTAGTTCATCTGCTTAATACCAAGGAGCAGAGAAGAAAACTTTCAAAGATTTAGTGTATTTTCACTGTATAATCAATAGAGCCCCACCCTATCACAAGAACCCCTGACCCTGGGGCCATAAAATTAACAATTTTGGTAGAGGCACTCTTGCTCATCATAACTATGCACTTATATAGTTTATTTAATACCCAGAAGCAGAGAAGAAGATTTTCAAAGAATTCATGTATTTTCACTATATAATCTATAGAGCCCCCCTCCCCCCCCTTACACCAGAACTCCTGACCCTGGGGCCATAAAATTCACAATTTTGGTAGAGGCACTCTTGCTCATCATAACTATGCATTTATTTAGTTTATTTAATACCCAGGAGCAGAGAAGAAGATTTTCAAAGAATTCATGTATTTTCACTATATAATCTATAGAGCCCCACCTTAACACCAGAACCCCTGACCCTAGGGCCATAAAATTCACAATTTTGGTAGAAGCACTCTTGCTCATCATAACTATGCACTTAGTTAGTTAATTCAATACCCAGGAGCAGAGAAGAATATTTTCAAAGAATTCATGTATTTTCACTATATAATCTATAGAGGCCCCCCCCCCTTACACCAGAACCCCTGACCCTGGGGCCATAAAATTCACAATTTTGGTAGAGGCACTCTTGCTCATCATAACTATGCACTTATTTAGTTTATTTAATACCCAGGAGCAGAGAAGAATATTTTCAAAGAATTCATGTATTTTCACTATATAATCTATAAAGCCCCCCCCCCCCTTACACCAGAACCCCTGACCCTGGGGCCATAGAATTCACAATTTTGGTAGAGGCACTCTTGCTCATCATAACTATGCACTTAGTTAGTTTATTTATTTCCCAGGAGCAGAGAAGAAGATTTTCACAGAATTCATGAAATTTCACTATATAATCTATAGAGCCCCACCCTAACACCAGAACCCCTGACCCTGGGGCCATAAAATTCACAATTTTGGTAGAGGCACTCTTGCTCATCATAACTATGCACTTATTTAGTTTATTTAATACCCAGGAGCAGAGAAGAAGATTTTCAAAGAATTCATGAAATTTCACTATATACTTATTTAGCCCCACCCTAACACTAGTACCCCTGACCCCGGGGCCATGAATTTCACAATTTTGGTAGAGGACTCAATGCTGATTACAATCATGCAAACAGTTTGACTGCTTGATGTCCAGGAGTAAATAAGAAGATTTTTAAAGATTGCACTAATTTTAGTGGTTTTGGCCCCACCCCTCAGGCCCCAGGGGGGC